TATGAGGATAGTGAGGTTAGGACTGCTGACTAAAATTTTACTTTAATGCTATTATGTTGTTTGTATTTATTTACTTGTTTTCTTGAGACAGGATCTCTCTCTGTCACCCAGGCTGGAATGCAGTGGTGCAATCTCGGCTCACTGGAACCTCTGCCTCCTGGGCTCAAGTGATTCCCCGACCTCAGCCTCCCAAGTAGCTGGGACCACAGGCGCATGCTACCATGTCTGGCTAATTTTTGTATTTTTGTAAGAACAAGGTTTCACCATGTTGCCCAGGCTGGTCTCGAACTCCTGGGCTCAAGTGATCTGTGCCCTCTTGGCCTCCTAAAGTTCTGGGATTACAGGCATGAGCCACTGTGCTTGGACAAATGTTATTATGTGTTTTATTTTGTTTTGTTTCTTAAAATAAAACAATCTTTAGAGGGGCCCTAGTTTCTTGTTCATCTTTGATATACATCTTACTGTCCCATACTGATAGTAAAAGTCACTGAAAAAGCACTTCTTCCAGCATGATTAGTTGATTAGATAACACAGTTAACATCTATGCAGACATTGTAGTTAAAATCTAAGGCCAGTGAATTGAAAAGTGAATCTTCTGGATAAATTGTTCATAGTTTTATTTATATTAATTTATACTCTACCTCCATTGTAAGAGGATATAAAGGCTGCAGAATTTTCTAACATGGATAGTTAATTCTTTTGGTATTAACAGTAACCATGTGCGCCTGACTTTTAAGTATATCTAAAGTTGCAAAGTCTACTTTATTTAATGTGGAATTGTTATTTTTACCTAAAATAAGTAAGGCTTTTAAACATGGATATACTGTAGCATAGCCAGAAATAGAACTAAAATTAGATTCCCTTGTAGAGAACTTAATAGTTAAGAAGAAAAAGGAGGTGAAAAGGCATAGATCTCCTTCCAAAAGCATCGTTATCCAGAGGAAGGAGCTTTCTAAGTGCACCTGACATCATAAGTGACAAAGCATTTGAACTCCTGGGTATTTTCTAACAAAATGCTGAGATTACTTTTGTTTTTCTCCCATATCCTAGTTTGAGTTCGTTCTGAGTTTTTACTCAACATATTTAATGAAATATAGATGCCATGTCACCGTAGTTAGTTCTTACATATTAGAAGTTCATTCATTCCCTTAGCTGGCTAACAAATCCCAGGGAGCTAAATTGCATAATGCAATGCCTAGCATTTCATTGTTGATGTCCACTTAACCTGAAATCTCTTGTTGGTCAGAAGGAATAGAATATAGCCACAGCCATGGTCAGTAAACTTCTGTGTATTTTGTCTCAGCCACTGTTGGATTGCTTGAGCCCAGGAATTTGAGACCAGCCTGGGCATCATAGTGAAACCCCATCTCTACAAAAAATAAATTTAAAAAAGCTATTCAGGTGCAGTAGTTCATGCTTGTAGTCCCGGATACTTGGGAGGTTGAGGTGGGTGGATTGCTTGGGCTTAGGATGTCAAGGCTGCAGTGAGTCATGATCGTGCCACTGCACTCCAGTCTGGGCAACAGAGCGAGAGCCTGTCTCAAAAACAAAAAAAGTTTCATTCATCTGAACTGGACCCATTTAGATCTCAACATATTTTTGCAGGGCCCTGTTTATAAACAAGTTGATTAAAGATATATTACAAGTTTCATGGGTCATATAACTTTTAGTGATTTATCAACAAAGATTTAGAATCATTGGTAGAAAAGAGAGGCTTGTCTTTGTGAATCCTGCAGTTAGCGCACGTGAGGAGTCTTTGTAGTGTCTGGCCACCACCTCTTCCCGCTTAGGTCCAGAAGCTATCGCGTCAAGTTCTTTATTGTCAGATGTGCCTTGGCTGGGTAGTTTCACGTTTCTCATTATGAGGAAAAAGTAGCAACACTGTTATTGCTCTCAATGCTGTGGCTTTTCTGGACCTGTTAATATTGAAACTATAGATCAACTTGCCTCTAGAGTTCCCTGATGTCATGTGTTTCATGCTAGGTGCATCATTACTAGGACACCGCATCCTCCATCATGGCCCTGGTGAATATTGGCTTCCAGTGGCTCCCTCAAGGCCGCAATTCGTTTATGATGATGACAAATGCAAGTCTCACCCAGATGTGCAGGAAAATGTTTTCTGGTCATCTTAAACTTACTGTCTAAGGTTTTACGATGTAATACATTTTGCAGCCATGTCTTCTCTTGATTACTTTATGCCATGATTACCGCATTCCTAGAATGTGGTCTCTTTCATTGCTGACTTCACCCTTTCCTTTCACAAACCATCACTAGTGGGGAGGCTAGGCGAGGGGCAAAGAGTGGTCCTGTTCACCCAAAGAAGGTCCATTCCTCATCTGGCACACTTCCCTACCACACGGCATAGCTTAAGACCAACCTATAAAAACAAATGTCACCACATGATCAGAGGCAAGAGAGGACATCATTCTGAAAATGGAGGCAAAACAAGACATTGATCAGAAGGGCTGCTGACAATGTGGAACAAAGGCCTCAAAGGCCCTTGGAGAAGAGAGGTGCTGTTCTCCCTAAAGAACTGCCCTGCATGTGGTACAGACCTGCAGAGAGGATGGAGTGGCTGCCCTGGCTGCCAGCCACAGCAGGTGCACAGGTAAAGAACACCACCACCCCCTACCATCTGTGATGCTGTAGACCAGAGGCCAACAGACTCTATGCGGTTGGAACACAGAAAGGCATGAGCCAACCCATGGGCATACAGATGTTCAAGCACAAGGGCCTGCCATGTACTTAGTAGTTCAGAGCCCTGAACTTGTCCTGTGTCCAATGCAAGTGCGAATCAACCAAAGTCAGCACATCAGCACAGCACCGTTCTGGTCACCCATCTCAGGATCCCGTGAAACACTGAGCTGGCCAGCTGGAGCAGTCTATTTTTTGTGCTGTTGTCCTAGAACTTGGGCCCTGGGAGACAACACCTTCAATATGAGTCTTGATGCTCCGCAGGGCATCTGGTCAACCTCATATGAAGGCTGGAGGATTGAAGAGCAATTTGCAGGGAAGAAATGAGGACGAGGCCCACACTATCCCTGGTCCAGGCTCGGGGCATTCTTCTTGGTTAGCACTGCATATCCCAATCAGTCCCAGGCATTGGGGGGACAGAAAACTTTGAGGAAGGCGCTGCAAAGCATGGAGCCCCTAGAGGCTCAGGTAGGGGCTCCATTTGGCCAGATTGAAGTGCAGTACTTGCTGCAGCTTCCTTGTAACTGGACTCCCAACCCACACGTGTATGTATTGTCACCATACACTGGGTGTTTTGTGATGGTGTTCCCTCTGCCTGATAGCCCTTCCTGCCATCCTAGCCTTTACCTGGACAACTTTTATCATGATTGAAGATCCAGCTCAGGCATCACTGTCTTCACCAAGCCTCCCCTAAACTCTCAGTCTGGGTGAGGCACCTCCTCCTCTGTGCTTTCCTTCATCACTGCACTCAAACCACTACGTGGTATCCTAACAGTGTCTGTGTCTGCTCTCCCAAGTAATTGGTGATCTCCTTAAGGTCAGAGATTGTTTCTATTCATCTTTGTATTTTTAGTTCTCTGCAGAGTAATGGATAGATACATAATTGGTGTTCGACAAAATGCCTGCTGAATAATAAGTGACTAAAGGAATGTGTGAAGGGCATGAAACTCCTTAGTAATAATTATAAGGGTATTTGCACAGACCCATTATCATTTTGAAACATCTAATTTGAAAGGTTTCTTCCCCAGTAAACATGATGTACCTTTCAGCTCTCATTATCGCTACTTGAATTGTCCTGGGTTTGGGAATTTCCTACTGCAGTCCCTTACATGGCTTTCTCCTATACAGAAGGTGTATTACACCATCAGGACAGTGATTGCCATACTGTCAGTGGGCAACACATCAATCATTGTTGGAAGACTTGAATTTTAATTTCTGGTTATAGTGGGCTATTTTTCAGCCCAAACATTCCTAATAAAAACAACTAAAAATGCTAGGTAAATTATTATTGGGCACCATTTTTTTTAACCTGGCACATAATGAAGCAAACAACATGTGTGAGAACCATCTGAAAAACAGACAATAAAAACAAATCTGGGAATACTTTTAGATCTTGAAATTATTGGACATGGACTATAAAATAACTGTGATTACTGTGGTGGGTTGAATCATGGCTCCTCAAAGATGTCCACATTCTACTCTCTGGAACCTGTGAAAATGTTACTTTATATGGTAAAAGGAACTTTGTGGATATGATAACATTGATGATTTTGATATTGGAGAGATTATTTTGGATTATCCAAATAGGCTCAATGTAATCACAGGGGTTCTGTAAGAGAAAGGCAAGAAGATCAGTGTCAGAGAGAAAAAAATGTAAGGATGTAAGCAAATGTTAGAGAAGAGATAAAATCTTAAACTTCTGACTTTGAAAATGGGGGAAGGGCTCACAAGCCTAGGCATGTACATGGCTTCAGGAAGCTACAAAAAGAAAGGAAATGGATTCTCCCCTAGACCCTCCAGAAGAAAGCAAGGTCTTCCAATACCCTGGTTTCAGCCCAGTGAAACTGATTTCAAAATCCTGACCTCCAGAACTTTAAGATAATAAATTTGTGTTGTTTTAAGCCACTAAGTTTGTAGTAACTTGTTATAGGAGTAATAGGAAACTAATACATTTATTATGTTTAAAAAAGTAAAGATTAGCTTAAAGATATCTCTGAAAAAATGAAACTACTGTTAGATTTCAAAAATAAATAGTACTTCTAGAGATTAAACACACAATAGCCAACATTTAAAACTCAGTGGATGGGTTCAATAGCCAATTCAACACAGCTGAAGAGAGAATTGATGACCTGGAAGTTAAATCAGAAGAAATCTAGGATGCAGCAAAGAGAGACAAAAAGATATACAGTAAGTTAGAGAGGCTAGTGATAAAGTCTAACTTAAATTTAATCAGAGTCTTAATATCTCAAGAGGTATTGGTGCCTTTCTCACTTTCTACCATCTTGGTGGCTGCTCTTGGTTGGGGGGCCATCCCACACCTAGGCAGGAAGACGGTAGCCACAAAGAAGATGAAAAAGTCACTGGAGTTGATCAACTCTAGTTATGAAAAGTAGAAAGTACATGCTGGGGTACAAGCAGACTCTGAAGTTGATTAGACAAGGCAAAGCAAAATTGGTCATCCTCTCTAACAACTGCCCAGCTTTGAGGAAATCCAAGATAGAATACTATGAAAACTTGGCCAGGACTAGTGTGCATCACTACAGTGACAATAATATTGAATTGGGCACAGCATGTGGAAAATACCACAGAGTACGCACACTGGCTCTCATTGATCCAGGTAATTCTCATATTATCAGAAGCATGCCAGAATAGACTGGTGAGAAGTATACTATGCACATTTTTCTTTAATAAAACTTGCCAGAGCTTGTTTTAAAAACATTTTTAAAAAGGGGTATTGGCTGAAATTTTCTACTGCTAATGAACAACATCAATGAGCAGATTTAGGAACCCCAATCAATCCTGGATATTTTGGGGTGGATTTATAGAGGCAATATAGCATAGTGATCTAGAACAAAGATTTTTAAAGTTTGTAAGCACTGTTGAATTCCAGTTTTGCCTCTTATTAGCTTCATAATTTTGGGCAAGTAAATTGACCTCTCTGAGTCTCCATTTCCTGATATATTAAAATAGGGATAGTATCTGTTTATTGGTTGGTTATGAGGAATAAATATGTATAAATGTGATTAGCATAGTAATAGGTCCAAAGTAATATGCAGTACATAATTGGTGATATTTTCAGTAGTGTTCAAAGTATATTTTCTCATGATGAGTTGAAGTCTGCTTCCCAATAATTTCCATTCATTCATCTTTTATTTTTTTTAGACAGGGTCTCCCTCTGTATCTCAGAGGGAGCAGTGGCATGATCTCTGCTCGCTGCAACCTCCATCTCCCAGGCTCAAGCAATCCTCCCACCTCAGCCTCCTGAGTATCCAGGACCACAGACAGGGATCACCACACCTGGCTAATTTTTGTATTTTTTGTAGAGACGGGGTTTTGCCATGTTGCCCAGGCTAGTCTTGAACCCCTGGGCTCAAGCGATCCTACCACCTTGGCCTCTCAAAGTGCTGAGATTACAGGCGTGTGCCACCATGCCTAGCCTCCACTCATTCACCTTAATTCTGATATCTGGAGAAGCACAGAACAGGTCTGATTCCTAGTGTATCTATGCATTCACTCGTTCACTTTTTAAAGCTTGATAACTGCAGAAGAGCAGGGCCAGGTGAACATCAGGACTCCCTGACACTGGTCCTGATAGGCCAGTGTTTCATATAGTTGCAACAATTTTCTTGGCAGTGTGGTATCTCTCAAAGACAAGTGGGAGTCTCAGAATTCTAGAGTGTGAGAGCAGCAGTTGGGTATTAGAATCCAGTGTGCTCATTCTGCAGGTGAAGAATAGGAGGTGCAGGGAGTGGAAGTGGCTTAGTTAGACTCAACTGGTGGTTGAGTCATCCACTTGCCTCAGCCCCCGAAAGTGCTGGGATTATAGGCGTGAGCCACCATGCCTGGCCTCTGCTCTGTATTTAGAGTAGACTTTACATCTTCCTGGTCAACCAGACCATGATCCAGGGTGCAGCATGTATTTTCTTTGTAGCTTGATGATGATTTTCTAAAGTTGAAAATCCTTTTTTGTTTTAATTTCCAAAAGTCCTTTTATAATTTAACTGAATTCAGCTGGGTGTGGTGGCTCACCCCTTTAATCCCAGCACTTTGGGAGGCTGAGGTGGGTGGATCATGAGGTCAGGAGATGGAAACCAATCCTGGTTTTAACAAGGTGAAACCCCGACTCTACTAAAAATACAAAAAAAATTAGCCGGGCGCGGTGGCGGGCGCCTGTAGTCCCCGCTACTCGGGCGGCTGAGGCAGGAGAATGGCCTAAACCTGCGACGTGGAGCTTGCAGTGAGCCGCGATCGCGTCACTGCACTCCAGCCTGGGTGACAGAGCAAGGCTCCGTCTCAAAATAAATAAATAAATAAAATAATAATTAACTGAATTTGTATAGTTCTTTTTTGTTAAGATGTTATTTGACTCTTCCAAGAATTCCCTTACCATAGGAGTTGCTTTAAGTGGGCCTGGCGCTCATTCACTTGCTGACGTTTCTGACTCCGCAAGCCTCCATAAGCCTCCATCTTTGAATCTGCCTGAGTTTTAACACTTCCTTTTATCAAGTTCTCCCACCATTTTTTTTTTTTTTTTTTTTGAGACAGAGTCTCACTCTGTTGCCCAGGCTGGAGTGCAGTGGTGTGATCTCAGCTCACTGCAACCTCCGCCTCCCAGGTTCAAGCAATTCTCCTGCCTCAATACTCAGCTGGAACTTCAGGCCCACACCACCACGCCCAGTTAATTTTTGTATTTTAGTAGAGACAGGGTTTCACCATGTTGCCTAGGCTGGTCTGGAACTCCTGACCTCAAGAGATCCACCTGCTTCGGCCTCCCAAGGTGTTGGGATTATAGGCAAGAGCCACCTTGCCCAGCTTCAATTCCCTTCTGAACTCTATTTTCATTTATGTGTTTCATATATTCATATTATTTGCCTTAATTCTTTTTTTTTTTTTTTTTTTGAGATAGAGTTTCACTCTGTTGCCAGGCTGGAGTGTAGAGGCACGATCGCGGACCACTGCAACCTCTGCCTCCTGGGTTCAAGTTTTTCTCCTGCCTCAGCCTCCTGAGTAGCTGGGACTACAGGTGCACACCACCACATCCAGTTAATTTTTGTATTTTTAGTAGAGACGGGGTTTCACCATGTTGGCCAGGATGGTCTCAATCTCTTGACCTCGTGATCTACCTGCCTTGGCCTCCCAAAGTGCTGGGATTACAGGTGTGAGCCACCACGCCCAGCCACCTTGCCTTAATTCTTAGCAAGGTAAGTTATTTGCTCTTAAAAGTGGGCTTGATGGGGAGGAGATAAACCACAGCAATATTCTTTTTGTTTTGAGACAGGGTCTCATTCTGTTACCCAGGCTGGAGTGTGGTGGTATGCTCTTGGCTCACTGCAGCCTCAACCTCCCAACCCCAGGTGATCCTCCTGCCTCCCCATCCTTCTGAGTAGCTGGGACCACAGGTGTGCACTGCCATGCCCAGATATTTTTTGTGTTTTTGGTAGAGATGGGTCTTGCTATGTTGCTCAGGCTGGGTCCCAGCAATATTCTACTAGCAATTCAGTAACGTGTAAGCACCACCCACTTCTCAAACCCCCACTGATCAGCTGAAGCACAACATATGCCTCTCTCAGGGTGTGAGCCTTTATGAAGACTGGCTATTTTATCTCCACTCTTTTTTATGTCCTGATAATAGTGGCTGAATTATCTGGGATGCTTATACACATTCCTAACCTATTAGGGCATACAGCCTCCCAAGATGGCCATTTATTTAGGCTTTTAATGTCTCCATTTATAGATGCAACTTCAGTGTTTAGGGCCTAATAGCTTTGGAATTACTCTAGGCTTCATGAAAACAGCACCATTTCATTTTTACCACCATTTTCTGAAATATGCTGGTAAAAATGAAACGGTGCTCTTTTCATGAATCGAGTTAACTGGGGTCGCACAGTCAGTAGTACAAGTTCCATACAGCCGGGGCTGGGAGGAATAATTTATGTCTTTTTTTCACAAGAAAAATATAGGCCTTTCAATGCTATAAGGGCAATTTTGTTTAATGTATAGGAAATTACATTGGCATACAACCCAAAACTATCTGTGGAATAATTTTCAGTGTCGCTCATGATAATTTCTAACGTGTCATAGTGGAAAATTGGACTCACAACCCTTGGAAAGCCTCCTGTCTGAGAACTTTTGAGAGCAGCACTGGAATGAGGTGAATGTGTAACTATGCTTCATGTCAGACCCGTCCAGCCATCTTCTGAACTTGCTGGTCACATGAACTGGCTTGTTCTGTGAATTTCATTTTGTGGTGCCATCAAGGTTAATAGAGTGAGGGTTGGTGGAGCCAGCTGGCTTATCCAGTAAACATCTGCCTTTCTGAAAGGAAAAGAGAGCGAAGAGGCTCCTTCCTTGTGTGCCTGTGAATTTCAAATGGGCTGCCTACAGAAACTGTCTACAGCATGTGGCCTAAACAGCCAGGATGAAGGGAAAATTCTCCTGCAAAAATCCCTAACCTGAGATCCAATAGCCTGAAACAGTTCAGTCTTTTCCCCACTGTGGTCTAAACCTCCAGACATGTTATCACAAAGGGACAGCAATGTGATTGATGGACACAGTAAGAAGAGGTTATAAACTTAATTTAATGGCAAAGGGTAAAAAATTGCATAGAGATGATGATATAAGGCAGAAGCTACACAGATTCCCAGAACCCCAAGGGCTAGCCAGCTAATAATGTCACTGCCCAAAAGTAGCTTGTCTTTGCCATTCACGTGGGGAAGCCATGATTTAAATTCTCATCACCCTACACCCACCTGCACCTGACTTTGGGGACTGTTTACATGTCTCCCTCCTCACTAGATGCAAGGAATTGGTACAAAACACCCCCAGCACATACAGACTGTTTACTATGGCTGAATTAATCAAAAGTAAATTCTCTGCACAACTTACCATATTGCTAAGCAGATCTAGACCTCAGGTTGGAGGTCCATTCCTGCACATCAGTAGAAATCATTTCCCTATTGTCAAAAGACAAAATTAGAACAAATTCAGTTTAAAAAATATAGATATTTTTAATTGAGACAGGGTTTCCCTCTTGCCCAGGCTGAAGTGCAGTGGTGCAATCATGGCTCACTGCAGTCTCCACATCTTGGGCTCAAGCGATCCTCCTACCTCAGCCTCCCGAGCAGCTGGGACTACATGTGTGTGCCAGCATACTTAGCTAATTTTTTTATTTTTTATTTTTTTAGAGGTGGGGTTTTGTCTTGTTGCCGATGCAGGTCTTGAACTGCCTGCCTTAGCTAACCAAAGTGCTGGGATTATAGGCATGAGCCAACGCACCCAGTTGGCTTAACAATCTTTTTTTAAGATCTGGCATTTATTTGCAATTCTAGAATTGGGGCAACACCTCATTCTATAAGATAGAGTGTTTCGATGAGCCAAGCAGAGGAAATTGGCTTGATAGACAGAAAAGGCCTAAGAAAACAGAAACAGAAAACAAAAAGCAGATTGGTAATTGCAAAGTTACTTTTCCTTGTAAAGTAGAGAGAACTTCTTTACCATGCTGACTCAAACTGGCCTCTTTGGGGATTTGGCTATTATCTTTCTCTGTCTCCTGATTTTTTGGAAGGTCAGATAAACAACTTAATTTCAGTTGGAAACTTCAGCGTGAGTAATTCCATTTTGGTTTGGTCTGTTGAATCTAGTGTAGAAGCTCA